GTATCCAATTCAAAGTGATTAAATTAAGAGAAATGTCAAAACGATCAATCCCCCCTACCCCCTCCCCCCTCCCCCCACCCTTTTTTACTCCCTTTTTTTACAAATTTATAAATAAACCCAATCCTAGACATGTATTTATAGAAAAACCCAAGCACTATTTAAACATAGAAACACACCCAAAATCAACCCCAAAGTCAACTTTTTGGGTGTGTTTATAAATGGATTTTGAGTATGAGTAACGATGGGTTTTGGGTGTGTTTATATGTTTAAATAGTGCTTGAGTTTTTTTTATAATTTAAGCCCCAATTTTAAGTGTTTTAGTAAAACTCCCTTTTTTTTTTATAAACTTCTAACCTCCTAACCCGATTGGAAGCGAGCCGGCGGTCGGCGTCCCATACCTTTAAAAGCCCGCCAGCTAGCATTTGGAATCACAAGAATAGCGAACTGCGGCTAGCCTTTTATGATACCAACTTAAACTTGGCTGCTATGATAATGAGAGCAATGCATCAATAAAAGTCGACCAAAAATAGTCAAAATATACCAGAGAGAAAGAAAAAAAATGTAATATTTCATTTAGAAATATGCATTGGCTACAAGATCCCCCTGGACCACGACTTAAAATTGAGGCAAAAGCCAACACAATTCATCCGTTCCTACTTTAACAGCCCACGATACTTTTTTTTTTGGGGTGAAGAGCCCACAGATACTCATCATTTTTTATTGTTAAAGAATCATTCTCAAAACACAAATGACATTAACTTGCACATTAGTACGTAGTCTCAGGTTGGGGGAAAAAAAAAAAAAAAAAAAAAAAAATCAGTCAGTTTTTTATTTAATTCAAAAAAAACAAAACAAAATGCAATTACTTACTAATCAAGTCAATTTTTGGATCAAACCAAAGAAAATTTTAAAAAATTCAACCGGATAATATAGTTCCAAAACTCATTGAAAAGACAAAGGAAAAGATAAGAAAGTTTCACTACGTACGTATCCATGGGGTGCACTGGTTTTGAAATCCACCTTGATGCATATGGCTCAGGGCCAATTTGGCATTAAAAAAAAGTTTCCATTAAAAATAAATATATTGTCAATAATATGGTCATAACAAAAATATATCAAAGGAGAAACCAAAGTTCAACCAACCAAACTCATGACCATTCAAGAATGTACAAGATTTTCAATCAAAGATAACTTATGCAAAGCCGGTACAGAAAGAAAGCAGCTGATTAAAAGTTAACAAAATACAATAACAATTAAAGTTTTTAGGCAACACAAGGCAGTAAACGAAAACCCAGATATTAATTTTCAAAATCACAACAAAATTTAAAGCAAACCAAATGAATTGCTTACAATTTTAAATAATAAGTTATTTTCTTATAGGTTACCAAAAGGGTTGGGCTTCCCAAATTTTTTTAAAAATCATTCATCACCCCAAATAAGCAATACTAAACAGGTACTCAATTATATACATGGTGACCTAAGTACGTATTCTGTGTCTGTGGTAAATCTCTATGGGCAGAAATGGCTGCATCCTCCATCCACCACTACTATTATTCAACGAGTACACACACGTGTCAGGCATGTATTGATTCTGTTAATAGAATTCTTAGTCTGAGGTTAAGCTTATCTGAAATCAGTGTGCGCACTAGACCAAAAATCTCATCTTCCTTAATTTCTCCATCTCTTTCCTTTGAATACAAGTCATTGACGAATAATTACCATGCGAAAAAATAAGTAGATATTCAAAGTTAGGTGCTTTGGTTTCATTATAAATACTGCAAGGTTTTGTTCAATTTGTCACACTGCCAAGAATATTGAAACTAAGAAAGCCAAAACCCCCCACAAATTATGACAATGAAGTTTCCAAACTCTCTACTAGCGCTGCTCATCCTCTCAATCCTTTCATCACTCTCAGTATCATGGGCAACTTCAGAGCCAGTTCCCATTAATGGCTTTCTCCAATGCCTTCCAAAACAGTTTCATTCTGGCCGCCCAATCCTTGAAGCCGTTTACACCCCTCAAAACACCACTTTTCTATCCGTTTTGATGGCGCGCATTAAAAACCGCAGATTTTCAAGCCCCACAACTCCAAAACCTCTGGCCATTGTTGCAGCCAAGCACGAATCTCATGTGCAGGCAACTATTGTTTGTGCAAAACAACATGGATTGCAAATTAGAATCCGAAGTGGTGGCCATGACTATGAGGGTCTATCGTACGTATCGCCTGTCCCCTTTGTCGTTCTGGACATGTTTCATTTCCAATCCGTTGATGTTAATGTCAAGGATGAGAACGCTTGGGTTGAATCCGGAGCTACTCTTGGCAAAATTTATTATAAAATTGCTGAGAAAACCAAGGTTCATGGGTTTCCTGCTGGGGTTTGTCCAACTGTTGGTGCTGGTGGCCACATTAGTGGTGGAGGCTATGGGAATTTGATGAGAAAATACGGCCTTAGCATCGACAATATCGTCGATGCTAAACTAGTTGATGCAAATGGTAGAATCCTTGATAGAAAGTCTATGGGAGAAGACATTTTCTGGGCCCTTAGAGGAGGCGGAGGAGCTAGCTTTGGAGTCATTCTTTCATGGAAACTCAAGCTTGTTCGAGTCCCAGAAAAAGTGACCGTGTTCAACGTTACAAGAACTTTAGAGCAAGGCGTTACAGATGTCCTTTATAAGTGGCAATTTGTAGCACCCGTGCTCCCTAAAGACCTCTTCCTGAGAGCAAGGCCAGAAATCGAGAATAATACTGAGGGCAAGAAGACTGCGGAAGTATCATTCATTGGTCATTTTTTGGGACAAACCGACAAGCTTCTTCCATTGATGAACGAGAGATTCCCTGAATTGGGTTTACGACGAAAAGATTGTCATGAAGTGAGTTGGATTGAATCCGTTGTATTCTGGGATGAATTTCCACTTGGAACCCCAGTAACTATTCTTCTCAACCAGACAGGCACATCAATACCCTTCTTCAAAGCTAAGTCTGACTATGTGAAGAAACCAATTCCAAAAAAAGTTATAGAATACATGTTTAAGGCGATGCTTGAGATAGGGAATATATGGACCGAATGGAACCCTCATGGTGGAAGAATGAGTGAGATTTCTGCATCAGCAACTCCATACCCTCACAGAGCTGGAAACCTATATATGATTCAATACTATACGTCGTGGTATCAAGACGAAGGAATTGAGGCCACCAACAGGTACATTGACTTAACAAGAAAGTTGTATGAAAAGATGGCTCCGTTTGTCTCCAGGAACCCGAGAGAGGCCTTCCAAAACTATAGGGATCTCGACATTGGCGCCAATCTGGACAACCAAAGTAACCTTCTAACTGCTAGAGTCTACGGAAGCAAGTATTTTAAAGGTAACTTCGAAAGATTGGTGCGTGTGAAAACCGTGGTTGATCCTCACAACTTTTTCAAGCATGAACAAAGTATCCCACCTATTTAGAGAAAGATTGGAAGGTTTAACAATGAACATGTATGAGTCTGGCTAGTGATCCTAGAAAATGCTATTGATGCTTGTAATATTGATTTGATGTATTGGAAAATAAAGCATAGTCTACAATAAGAATAAGCCAACTCGAACTTGATTTGATGCTTGTACAAAAGACTTATTTTTGGGACGTTCATTCATAAAAGGTGACAACGTTCTCAGCAATCAGCCAACAACGTCACCTTATCCACGCAACCTCTACTATGACGGCTGTGCGCGATATTGGGAAAGTAATATTTTATGCGGTTTGTACGTAAGCAGTTAGCTATTACTCAAATTTTGAATTGCTTAACCTAATTACCTAATCGTGCAGAATATTGTTTAACCTAATTCCTTTGTCATTCACGTTTGATATGCATAGGCTTGTTGAAAGAGACCCCTTACAACTTTGCAATAATGTTCTTTGGGACATGGAAATTTTGAAGTTTTGGAAATAAAACCGTAACTTTTCAATGTTAAGAAAAATTACATTTATTGGGATTAATGGTAGTTTGTTGTTGGGACGACTGGTCCATAAGAGGAGAAATTATAGAGTGATACCGTACTATCACGTCAGCTGGTGATACTCCCACTCAAAATATGTCATATGTAATTTCTTTTAATTAATTATTCTTTATTACAGCTGGACTTAATTTTTATCCGCTGAAATAAATTAGAAAAATAAAAACTTAAGAAAAAAGAAAAGAGAATATCCCAGCAACCCAACCCTTACCCCCACGCCACCCCTTTGTCATCTTCTTCCGACAGCCATCAACAGTCATTAGTTACACAAGTAAGACAGCCAAATCCTCATAGCCTACTAAATTTTTGCAACCAGGAAACTTCATCATCATTGTCAATGAATCTTAATATCTGATGGAGTTTATTCGATCCAATACAATACCCAACACAATCAACCCTTTACATATCAATTTCATGTTGGTTGATTTGTAGCCTGTTTGTTGTAGACTCACCTCCCATCCCAACCTTCTTCACATCTGCTAGTGAGACCTTCATCAAATGTCCAGTTGTAAAATAAAGTTTGAGTTGCTAAAAAATAAAGACACATGGCATATTTTGAGTGGGAGTATCACCAGTTGACGTGGTGATATGGTACTACTCTATAATTTCTCAAGCCGATAAGAGCATCTACAATGATGAATTTCAATAAATTGAACTTTTAACTTGCAGTGGTAAAGTTCAGTTTATTTCAGAGATCAATATTTCATTTCAAGGATCAATATTTCATTTTCAGAGGTTAATAAAATGAACTCTGAAATGAAATTCATTTCAATAAGCTGATCCACCATTATAACTCTACATCCTTTCTCTTGTCAACACATGAAGAACATTACTTTTACCTTTTAATTTTTCCATTACATTTAATTTAAACTAGCCGTTAAGTTTCTCCCCCCCCCCCCCAAAAAAGATTTCATTGATTTGTATACTAGCCTCTCTCTTATTGATTTGGTGAGGCATTACTCTGCTGCATGCTGCAATATGAATTTCAGATTTTTATTTATTTTTTAATGATTACATGCAAAAGAAAGGAAAACTGAAGTGTCAAGCTCAGCAACGTCAGATTTTGAAGAATCATGATCATCCCAAGGTTCAGTAGCTGCATCATCTTGCCCACTGGCGTCTGGTAAAGCTGTTGAAACACTGCTGCTACCAACAATGTCATCAACTTCTGACTCAGTATCACTATCAATCTCACGTAATCTCTTGATCCACCGTCAATATCAGGTGCCTGCAGCAATCCACTGTCCAAGGAGCTCGATATAGGCTTAACACTCTAAGCACTTACTGCAGCCAAACGACCTAACTGGGAGCGAGCGCAACGAAGAAACTTCCAGATCATGTATTGTAGAAGCCTCACCATCAGTAGCACAAGAGACTACATCTTCTACCTAGAGAAGCTAGAAAAGTGGAGCCATCTTTGCATGCAACTGAGACATATAAGAACTCCTATAATATTTACCTTCAGAAAGTAAGATGTCAGCAATTTCATATTAACTGATTATGTACTATCATCTTCAAATATCAGCATCTATTTCTGTCATTTGGAATAATGATGTCATCATATTTTGTTTGGCCTGGGTGATCATTATAGTTTATAATCGTTATAAACTACCATTTTCTTAAAGGATAAACAACCATTTGCAAACCAGTGATCGATAACCAATATCCAAAAAGCAATTCATGCGCAAGAACCAATTGATCATCATATAAATTCCCAATGAAGAAAAGGCTTGTAACTCACAGGTTAAGTAGATTAGATGGTGTGGGACGTAATGCAGTTAATGCCTCCTTCCACTGCCACTGGCGTTCAGATAACGGAAGAAGACGCTGCAAAATTGACAACTACCATTCCCAATCTTCAATGAAATGTTTAGCAATTGACGCTCTCCACTCCAATGCTTGTCTTCCACCCCTACTTAGGCCATCACTTAGAGCATGATCTAGTTCAGTTATAGTTGAAGGAAGACAGTGATGTAATATATCAAGTAGTTTCCCCGTAAAAGATACAACTAATTTGTTTCCCTCTTCACGTATTAGATCAGTTTGCTCCATGGTGAGGCATAATGAGCCAAATTGAGAGAAAGATCATCCATATTTAAAAGCGAACTTATGACATTCGCCATCATGATCTGCATCATTACAGAAGCATTATAAAATAATTACAATGAAGAACGGGAAAAAAGATTCAGCCAACTAATAAAACTGATGACATCACAAACAAATTGAGAGCATTTAGATTTCAAAGGAAAACATGAAACTTCAAAGTAAACTTGAGCAAAATACCAAAATGCAATCCATTTAGCAGTTGCTAATTCTCTAGCATCAGAACATGAATGATAAATAATTTGTTTTGCATGCATTTTTCGGTGATTATATTTCACATGAAACAACTTTCAAAGACAACAGACAACATTGTTAATGTATGCATTTTGAGTTTTTCTTTTGGCTTCCCTTGACAATTTTGTAATAGGATTTTATTGTTTTTATCAAGCTCAAGTTTATATTAAGAATAGCTTCTCTAGGTGTTCTTAACTAACAACTATCCTATGGAGGTTCAAGCAAATTGACAAAGGTAAATTGTGCATTGCATCACATTGCATTAAATTGATTTCATATAATGATGACTAGTCATCTGTTTTTCGTATGACTAGTCATCCTTGCTTTGTAGGATTTCCAGCTGGATAACCAATTATTTTGTCATATTCTCCTTTCTCTCTCAGCTGCTATTTGTTGATTCTGACCTAGGGAATTTTTGGGGTTAAAGGCCAAAGGATTCCTCATTTGGTAGCTGTCACTTTGGGGGACAAGTTTTGGAAAGTTTCATAGCAAACTTTCGCTTCTTCTTCCTCAAGAGTAACCTTCATATTTTTCATCTTTGAGTTTTCCAAATTATTTCTTTTGAAAACTACATTTGAAATATGAAAACTTCATCTTGCTAGATCAAACACTCTATCATATATATCTAGGTCAGATTCAAGATTGATTTCTTCAAGAGTATGGTTTCTTGAAGAAATTGGTCATTTTCTCCATGAATCCAAATTTCATTTCTGTATGAGTTAGAGCTTGCAAGCTGGTGCCATGGGATGAATGAGCTGGAGAAGGAGCTGTCATTGCCATGAAGAATTGAGCTTCAAGCTTTGCTAAGTTGGAGAAGAAGATTGCACAAAGGAGGTATAGCTCATCTTCCTAAATAGATCTAGGTTTTTCTTGAGCTAGCTTGTGTTCCTTTGTAAGAATCTTTTTCTACTTAATGGATTGCCTGGTCGGTTGATGACCCCCAGTTTTTCCCAATGGTGGGTTTCTGGGTGAACAGTTTCTGGTTTCCATCTCTGCAAATTTTCTGGGTTTGTGTTCTTGATAGTTGACTAGTCATCTGAGTTTGTGCGGTTGACTAATCATCTTTTTCTGTTGTTTGGTGTTTGCTTGATTATGCTATCTTCACACACTTTCACCATAATTATTGCTAGCACAGGGGATGCCTAAATTGACGAGTCCTTCTGAGTGCCTAGGTTGTCACTAGTAATTCTCTAGGCTTGCAGGGACATCTTGGTATGCTTTGTGTATGTTATTGTTTGATATAATTCATATCTGACAGTTGACTAGTCATAAGAGTATTTGGTCAAGGTCTAGAGTGTGTGAAGTTTGTTGCGTTCTTGGTTGAATATCTTTTAAATTTACCCCTCCTCACCTAAGTACCAATTTCAAGTTTGTCCAAGGAAACGTGTTAGACATGTAATTGCAAGTTCAACTCATCAGGCATAAACATGAGAAACGCCAAACCATCAACATGTTAAGAAAAGCACGTCAAATCCCAAAATGACAAAAATATGAAATACATTGAGTGCAAAATTGGTTTGCACATCTATTTTAAGGGTTGGAGAATTCCATTTTTGGGATTAGGGCATAATTCTCCCTTGGATGCATAATGCATTGGCCTTCTTCCACCTCCCCTCCACCTCCCCTCCCCTAGCACATACACACACACACACACAACAAAAAAGACTCCCACAAACTTGCAAGTTACAACACAATATGATAGTATTATTAAATTAACATATCAAAACTAACAGAAATATTATATTAGCTTCTCTTGGGGCGTGTTTGTTAAAGCACTTCAAAGACTACTTTAGTGTAACTCATGTTGATTGGACAGAGTTTTGGGCTGAATGTAATCTGATTTCATATGTCATGTCATGATTGTTGGTCTAATTTTGATGGTTTTCTACAAGACATCATTGAAGATGAAAAGAACAAAGAAATAGTTTTCCTTTCTCTGTGTTCTCTCTAGCCCATCTTTCTTGTAGATTTTCTTTCTCTGTTTTGAATAAGATATAGTTTTCCTTGTAAAAACAACATAGAAATAGACCAGAACAAGATTATTTTGAGGCTTTTGAGGACTTACCCGAAGTGGACTTTGATTTCCAGTACGAAATTCTCAACAAAAGGGTCTAACAGGTGATCTTCGCATGCTATTTGTTCTTTAGTAGACAACATCAACGATAGTTTTCAATTCCATGATGGACCAGAACTGACGCAGGCAACAGAAAAGCCAAGATCAAGCTGATAGCACAAAGAATCACAAAGATAATTTCGAAAGATAGGCCTAGGCGCTAGGCGCCCGCCTAGGCGGGTCTGGGCAATATAACATTCGTTTCTTTAGGTTTTTTTATTTTCTTTTTTGTAATTAAATAATATCTTTGGTTTATTTTAATTACGTTTATTAGTAATTATATTTTAATTATGATTTCTTTTGTGAACAATTATTATTAAATATTTTAATTATATTTATCAATTATATTACTTAATGAATAGTAATTTATTTTTTAATAATTTTTCCCACTTTATTTTCATCGGGATAATTTTTTTTCGAAATAGCTAATTTTTTTAATTGAGTAATATCTTAGTCTTATTTAATTAATATAATTACTAATTAGCTTTTAGTTATTTTTTAAGTTAATAATTAGTATTTAAATATTTAATTTGTTTTATAAATTACTTATCAAATAGTAATTAATTATTATGAATTATTTTGTGCACCTAAAAACCAAGAAAGTGGTTGCAACATAGTAAGTATATATCACAAAAGAACTAATACGTACATATGGTATACTTGATTTGCTTATTAACTTAGTTCTTGATTGACTGGTCTGTAGTGGTTACATGTCCCTAGAACACGCAATTGATAAGTTCTACTCGATAAAATCCAATGTCTATAGCTTTGGTGTGTTAGTGCTAGAGATAATGAGTGGGAAGAGAAACATAGGATTTACTCATTGCTTGTTTTCGTTTCTTCTTTTAAATAAGCGCAATGGTTTTGAACTGGACTCAGGTGATCCACATGAAGTTGTTAGATTAATTCATGTGGGTCTTTTATGTGTGCAGCGTAACCCGGGAGATAGGCCGAGCATGTCAGTTACAATTCTAATGCTGAGTGGTGAGGGTCATTGTCGCAACCTCAAAAATCATGTTTTTATAGTTAAAAGGATCTCAATGAACTCTAAGTCAGTCCTTCTTTTAAAGCGTTGTCAACAAATGAACGCAAGTGCTTCATATTTGGGGCAAAGATTCATGAAGTTCCCAAATTGAGTGAGGAAGGATCTCCGAAAATGCCACTGCATTGTGCACGTGTTATAAGGTATGCAATTACAGTCACTTCAATCATACTCACTTAGCCAGTTAGTGATAAGGGAAACCAGTCTAGAATTTTCAGATTCTTTATAGAGCATGTATTATGTTTCGTTTTTTACCATTATGTGATGTTGTTCTGAGCAAACTGTTTCCTCATGTTCTAATTCTACTGTGATAGTTATTATGTGTAGATGGCTATTTCGACTTTACAGTCTATTTTGAATCTTTATGTGATACTGTGGACTGTGGTAAAGACTTCTATTTGCTTGCTTGTGATATTGAAAGCTATTTAGAGGCTCAGGTAATTATTTCTATTTACTTGACGATCCCAACCCAAAGCATATATATGTTGTTTGAGTTTGGTGTTGTATAACTTACTGAGATGACTTGAGGAACTGAACCATGCATATTCCCTTCTGATGGCTGAAGGAAGTTGAGGTTCCACCCCAAAACCAATTGGCAATGGGGGGGAGTAGCCCAACTCTTTATAAGCTCTTGCAAGGTTTTCTAACTTTCTAATGTGGAACTTTTTACCTTCACATTCTCACACGCCCCACACTTGTGGCGAATTTTCAAGCCTAACACGTGGACAACACATTTTGGGTAACGTGGAGCACATGTGGCCGTTGGGCTTTCACACGTGGGCTAACCTGGCTCTGATACTATGAAGGAAGTTGAGGTTCCACCCCAAAACCAATTGGCAATGGGGGGAGTAGCCCAACTCTTTATAAG